CCAACCAGGGTATTGTGGGTTACTTGTGAATTGTTCCAACCAGGGTATTGTGGGTTACTTGTGAATTGTTCCAGCCAGAGTATTGTGGGTTACTTGTGAATTGTTCTAACCAGAGTATTTTGGGTTACTTGGGAATTGTTCCAGCCAGGGTATTGTGGGTTACTTGTGAATTGTTCCAACCAGAGTATTGTGGGTTACTTGTGAATTGTTCCAACCAGGGTATTGTGGGTTACTTGTGAAATGTTCCAGCCAGAGTATTGTGGGTTACTTGTGAATTGTTCCAACCAGGGTATTGTGGGTTACTTGTGAATTGTTCCAACCAGAGTATTGTGGGTTACTTGTGAATTGTTCCAACCAGAGTATTGTGGGTTACTTGTGAATTGTTCCAGCCAGGGTATTGTGGGTTACTTGTGAATTGTTCCAACCAGAGTATTGTGGGTTACTTGTGAATTGTTCCAGCCAGAGTATTGTGGGTTACTTGCGAATTGTTCCAGCCAGAGTATTGTGGGTTACTTGTGAATTGTTCGAATCAGAGTATTGTGGGTTACTTGTGAATTGTTCCAGCCAGAGTATTGTGGGTTACTTGTGAATTGTTCCAACCAGAGTATTGTGGGTTACTTGTGAATTTTTCCCAGCCAGGGTATTGGGGGTTACTTGTGAATTGTTCCAACCAGAGTATTGTGGATTACTTGTGAATTGTTCCAGCCAGAGTATTGTGGGTTACTTGTGAATTGTTCCAGTCAGAGTATTGTGGGTTACTTGTGAATTGTTCCAACCAGAGTATTGTGGGTTACTTGTGAATTGTTCCAACCAGGGTATTGTGGGTTACTTGTGAATTGTTCCAGCCAGAGTATTGTGGGTTACTTGTGAATTGTTCCAGCCAGAGTATTGTGGGTTACTTGTGAATTGTTCCAGCCAGAGTATTGTGGGTTACTTGTGAATTGTTCCCAAACCCCAGAGTATTGTGGGTTACTTGTGAATTGTTCCAGCCGGGTTTGTGGGTTATTGTGAATTGTTCAACCAGAGTATTGTGGATTAATGTGAATTGTTCCAGCCAGAGTATTGTGGGTTACTTGTGAATTGTTCCAGCCAGAGTATTGTGGGTTACTTGTGAATTGTTCCAACCAGAGTATTGTGGGTTACTTGTGAATTGTTCCAACCAGGGTATTGTGGGTTACTTGTGAATTATTCCAGCCAGAGTATTGTGGGTTACTTGTGAATTGTTCCAGCCAGAGTATTGTGGGTTACTTGTGAATTGTTCCATTCAGAGTATTGTGGGTTACTTGTGAATTGTTCCAGCCAGAGTATTGTGGGTTACTTGTGAATTGTTCCAACCAGAGTATTGTGGGTTACTTGTGAATTGTTCCAGCCAGGGTATTGTGGGTTACTTGTGAATTGTTCCTGCCAGAGTATTGTGGGTTACTTGTGAATTGTTCCAGCTAGGGTATTGTGGGTTACTTGTGGATTGTTCCAACCAGAGTGTGGGTTACTTGTGAATTGTTCCAGCCAGGGTATTGTGGGTTACTTGTGAATTGTTCCAACCAGAGTATTGTGGGTTACTTGTGAATTGTTCCAACCAGAGTATTGTGGGTTACTTGTGAATTGTTTCAGCCAGAGTATTGTGGGTTACTTGTGAATTGTCCCAGCCAGAGAATTGTGGGTTACTTGTGAATTGTTCCAACCAGAGTATTGTGGGTTACTTGTGAATTGTTCCAGCCAGAGTATTGTGGGTTACTTGTGAATTGTTCCAGCCATAGTATTGTGGGTTACTTGTGAATTGTTCCAACCAGGGTATTGTGGGTTACTTGCGAATTGTTCCAGCCAGGGTACTGTGGGTTACTTGTGAATTGTTCCAGCCAGGGTATTGTGGGTTACTTGTGAATTGTTCCAGCCAGGGTATCGTGGGTTACTTGTGAATTGTTCCAGCCAGAGTATTGTGGGTTACTTGTGAATTGTTGCAGCCAGGGTATTGTGGGTTACACTAACAACCCGCACATAGAAGAGAGGAGCTTACGACCTTGACTGGTCTTCTGCTAAAACTGTCTTCCCTACTTCCAACTTTAACAGTCGCCGTCTTGTTGAATCCTCTCTAATACACAACTTTCCTTGTATGAATCTTAGTCGTGGCTTCGTTTCTGTAGATGCCTTCCTCTCCCACTACATTGTAAAATGCTCCAAACTTCAGAACACCCGTGACTTAACCTGATTCCTCATTTTTTCTTCTTCTCCCTCTTCCCCTTTCCTCTTTCCTTTTTTTTTTGTCTTTCTTCTGTCGCGTGTTTCTGTTCCTTCATTATTTATTTCACCACTTCCCCTTCCCCCCACCTTGTGCACTTGCTCTCCTTGTGGGCACCTAGCTCCCTTGCAGTGCTCCTCTTTCTTTATATTTGACTGGCTCCTCCTCCTTAGTTCCCCACTACTACCACTACTACTACTACTACTACTACTACTACTACTACCTCTACTACTACTAATACTACTACTACTACTACTACTACTACTACTACTACTACTACCCCTTACTACTACCACTACTACCACCACTACCTCTTCCTGCCTATATATAGCCGTCCTGCTCCACTTCTGGTTAGTGTGACTTTGTAAATGGTCCAAGTCGGACCGAAACGTCGTCGTAAGCTCCTCTCTTCTATGTGCGGGTTATTTGTGTATCGTTCCAGTCACGGTATTGTGCCTTTTTTGTTATTGTGGGTTACTTGTTTCGCCCACAATATTGTGACTGTCAGTCTTCCTGACAACCTTATCTTGTCGGGGATAATTCAGTCCAGGCTTCCAGACTTAAGGTTACCTGTCATGGATCAGGTCGAGTCGAAGATGATGATTGTTTGGTAAATGGTACACAACTTAGACAAGATTAATAATTAGACACAGGTACAACATCTGGGTATCTTTAATTTGTAGACGTTTCGCCATCCAGTGGCTTGATCAATACAAATTCAAGGACATAATAGGAAGACTGTAGAACTATATATAAAAGAGGAGGTAATCAGTCCCTGAGCTAAGGGACTGAATGAGGTATGCAGCACCAGGTGGGTTCCATACTGGTGCTGCTTACTCCAATATGGGAGTAACATACACGGTTGTGATGTAGTTCAGCTGGGCTTGTGAGGTCTCTGGGGAGACCTAATTTAACCAATTATATAGTCACACCTTGCCTTGGCAAACGTCTGTAGCCACGCCCACGTCTGAGGTCTTTTGTTCTTGACGGCGTCAGACCTAGGCGTCAGGTCGTACACGTGGTTGTGGAGGGTGCTTGGACCACCATAAAAGCCCAAGGAAGAGCATGATCAGGAGATTCGGGTAGAGCTCTGGCCTGGGAGCAGAGCTGAGCTGGAGAGTCTCGGGAGGAGAGACTGTTGGAGACATTGGGCAGAGTACTGGCTTGGAGCAGTACTCGTGCTGTGTAGGTCTTGGGACCTGTGGCTTAGTTCCTGTAGTGAACTGTCCTCTGTACTATATTGTAAGTTATATTCATCTTCGTCAGGTTGATTGTGTTCCCTGTCTCACTGTTTATATGTACCACCCCATTTGTCTAAACCACAATAATGTTCTCCTGTTCCCAAATATATTATTGTACAAAGACTTAATAATAAACTGTGTTTGAGTAGAATAGTAATATTCACTGTCCCCGTTATTTTCTCCATTTATTTATGTTTAGTTAAAGTAGTGAGAGGGTGAGTAGTGTGGAGTGGTGGGTAGAGTAATGAGAGGTGAAGTTGTAGTCACCAGTGACCTCACATTACCTACCAACCTCCACACTCGTCCCTCCTACTGCCTCGCCTGTCCCCTACCTACTAATTCCCTCCTCTTACCCCCATATTCCCCTAATCATTACCCCCCTACATGACACGGTGTACAGGGTCCAGAACGACTTATTACTGAGATGGAATGCTATTCTTAGGTTCGGTAGTCGCTCCTATGCTGCAGCAGTTATTTGGTTGATGTGTGCCTCAGGAGATGTGCTCGGTGTTATGCACACTTCCAGATCCTTTTCATTGAGTGAGGATTGTAATCTTTGGCCCCCTAGACAGTACTCTGTCTGCTGTCTTCTTTACCCTTCCCCGATCTTCATGACTTTGCAGTTGGTGGGGTTGAACTCCAGGAGCCAGTTTCTGGACCAGGATGTCCAGATTCCTTTGTAATTCTGCCTGGTCATCATCCGATTGAATTCTCATTAACTTCACATCATCTGCAAACAGGGACACTTCCGAGTCTGTTCCCTCCGTCAGGTCATTCACATATACCAGAAACAGCACTGGTCCTCGAACTGACCCTTGTGGCACCCCGCTTGTCACAGGCGCCCACTCTGACACCTCGTCACGTACAATGACTCACTGTTTCCTTCCTGTCAGGTATTCTCTGATAGATTCGGTGCCTTGTTATACCTGACTGGTCTTCCGTACTCACCTAACTGTAGTTGCAGGGGTCGAGTCATAGCTCCTGGCCCCGCCTCTTCACTGTACACGCTCTCCTTGCTCCATGAGCTTAATCATACCTCTTCTTAAAGCTGTGTATGGTACCTGCCTGTGTGTAAACGTGTGTACTCGCCTGTTTATGGTTGCAGAGGTCGAGTCACAGTTCCTGGGCCACGTGTGTGTGTAAAACGTACCAATAATACTCAGTATGATCGTCTCACTCACTTGTCAACAAACTTAACCTCGGCAGGAATGAGATTGCCAAACACTAAAATAAATATCCGTAAAGGGAGGAGCCTAGCTGCTGTTGAAGGCCTCTACATCCAGGGAACTGGAGCCAACTCCCTTTTCCTTGGATCGACCCTTATTACCATCCTATCCCCAACAGATATATAACCCATACGACTCTAGAGCTTACTCCAGAATACATTAACCGTAAATATTCTTCGTATTTACAGTACTATACAATATAATAACTGGAGGGGGAAATATAGTATTATACATGTGTGCATACGACTCAATTTAATACATATTAATCGAGAAAATGAGGAAAAATGTTGGACTCACAGGGGGAAGAGCAGCACAACCTCCCACAGCGACGTCCTGAGACACACTGATGTTTATTTCGGAGGAACTGCAGTATTTTCCAGTGTGTAGCAAGAACGTCGCTATAGTTAGCGCCCCATCAGAGTGCTAGCATTATGCTTGTTTATCCAGGGGTAGGGAGGGTTAGCCACCCAGGATAACCCAGGGTAGCGACGGTCAGCCACCCGGGATAACCCAGGGTAACGACGGTCAGCCACCCGGGATAACCCAGGGTAGCGACGGTCAGCCACCCGGGATAACCCAGGGTAGCGACGGTCAGTCACCCAGGATAACCCAGGGTAGGGAGGGTTAGCCACCCAGGATAACCCAAGGTAGCGACGGTCAGCCACCCGGGATAACCCAGGGTAGCGACGGTCAGCCACCCGGGATAACCCAGGGTAGCGACGGTCAGTCACCCAGGATAACCCAGGGTAGCGACGGTTAGCCACCCGGGATAACCCAGGGTAGCGACGGTTAGCCACCCGGGATAACCCAGGGTAGCGACGGTCAGCCACCCAGGATAACCCAGGGTAGCGACGGTCAGCCACCCAGGATAACCCAGGGTAGCGACGGTCAGCCACCCAGGATAACCCAGGGTAGGGAGTCTTAGCCAACCAGGATAACCCGGGGTAGGGAGTGTTAGCCATCCGCGATAACCCGGGGTAGAGAGTGTTAGCCACCTAGGATAACCCAGGGAAGGGATTGTTAGCCACCCAGGATAACCCGGGGTAGGGAGTGTTAGCCACCCGCGATAACCCGGGGTAGGGAGTGTTAGCCACCCGCGGTAACCCAGGGTAGGGAGTCTTAGGGGGCAGTAGGGCAAATTTCCGCGAGCGCTCAACGAAAAATCGAAAAAATATGGATATTGAGTTATATATACTGTAAAATAGCTCAACTCTTTGGCAACACAATGGTACCAGAATGAATGTTCTACGACGTTTCTACAAGAAATTATAGCCATTTATATCAGGTATGGTGACGGCGATGTTGGTACCGAGTCTGCTCACGGCCCATATATATTTTGGAAAATTTTCCTTGTTTTTTATCGCTTTTTCTTGCATTATTCTTTCTAATATAATAACTGACTACTTGGCATCATAAAACTGAAGGCGGAGCTTATCCCTAGATTTAGCAACAGTCATTAATCTTATCATGATGCGCGGAAGGGTTGCTGCGCCAGGATAAATCACTCATTATTACGGTTATATCAGCTTATATATCAACTCTACAGCTTATTTGTCTATCAGAATTGATCTAATATGATATAATAAACACTATAAATAACATACAAACATGTTATATACTCTAGACTGAATAAAATAGGCCATAATATGGCCAGAGATTATCGGGAATATTTCGATATAAAAAGTGTTACTGCTCTCCATGTCGTCTCTGAGTAAGAGAAAACGGTGTTTTGAAGAGGATAACTGCACTAGAACATCAGTTTACTAAGAAATACACCCAAACAAACGCGATTTTCGCGATTTTTTTTTTTTTTTTTTGAGACGGGGGCCGGCCGGCGCTCCCGGCCGATATCTCGGAAGTAACTTATTCACCTAATGGCCAAGCTTCTCGCTTTATTACTGAATTAAATGGAATATAATACTCACAAAACTTGTAGAATAATGATTTCTCCGTTTTTCGGTGAGCAAATTTTGGAAATATTCCAAATACTTAGGGAGTTATGTGGGAGTAAAGGGCAGATTTTTTTGCAATATTCCAGGAACTAACAAACTTTATTTTTTTGTGAAATAAAGATAAGTTTATTTAGAGAAAAGGGCTCAACGAATATTAGTATAAGCATTGTTCTCTCGGCACCAAGTGTCCAAACAACCTTACGTAGTCCCATATAAGAGAAAGTTTGGCCACAAGGGCATTTTCAGTAAATCAGTCATTTCTCAGTTGTTGTTTGAGGTATATTTTTGATAAATATTTTCAAGAAAGAGTGAGACGACTTTGTCTTGTGTACCAAAACTGGAGAAAATCGGACAGTAAACAACAGAGTTACAGATTTTGCCCTACTGCCCCCTAAGCCAACCAGGATAACCCGGGGTAGGGAGTGTTAACCACCCGCGATAACCCAGGGCAGGGAGTCTTAGCCAACCAGGATAACCCGGGGTAGGGAGTGTTAGCCACCTAGGATAACCAAGGGTAGGGATTGTTAGCCACCCAGGATAACCCGGGGTAGAGAGTGTTAGCCACCTAGGATAACCTAGGGTAGGGAGTGTTAGCCACCCAGCATAACCCGGGGTAGGGAGTGTTAGCCACCCAGGATAACCCGGGGTAGGAAGTGTTAATCACCTAGGATAACCCAGGGTAGGGACTGTTAGCCACCCAGGATAACCCGGGGTAGAGAGTGTTAGCCACCTAGGATAACCCAGGGAAGGGAGTGTTAGCCACCCGCGATAACCCGGGGTAGGAAGTGTTAGCCATCAGGAATAACCCAGGGTAAGGGGTGTTAACCACCCGGGATAACATAGGGTAGGGAGTGTTAGCCACCCAGCATAACCCGGGGTAGGGAGTGTTAGTCACCCAGGATAACCCGGGGTAGGGAGTGTTAGCCACCCAGGATAATCCAGGGTAGGGAGTGTTAGCCACCCAGGATAATCCAGGGTAGGGAGGGTTAGCCACCCGCGATAACCGGGGTAGGAGGTGTTAGCCATCAGGAATAACCCGGGGTAGGGGGTGTTAGCCACCCAGGATAATCCGGGGTAGGGAGTGTTAGCCATCTAGGATAACCCGGGGTAGGAAGTGTTAGCCACCCAGGATATTCCAGGGTAGGGGGTTTTAGCCACCCGGGATAACCTAGGGTAGGGAGTGTTAGCCACCCAGGATAACCCGGGGTAGGGAGTGCTAGCCACCCAAGATAACCCGGGGTAGGGAGTGTTAGCCACCCAGGATAACCCGAGGTAGGAAGAGATAGCCACCCAGGATAACCCAAAGAAGAGAGTGTTAGCCACCCAGGATAACCCGGGGTTGGGAGTGTTAGCCACCCAGAATAACTCGGGAGAGGGAAGGTTAGCCACCCAGGATAACCCAGGGTAGGGAGTGTTAGCCACCCAGGATAACCCGGGGTAGAAAGAGTTAGCAACAGAGGATAACCTGCGGGAGGGAGGGTGAGCCAGCCAGGATAACCCACGGTAGGGACGGTTAGCCACCCAAGATAACTTGGGATAGTTAAGGTGAGCCACCCAGGATAACCTGGGTTAGGGAGGGTGAGCCACCCAGGACAACCTGGGACAGGGAGAGTGAACCTCTCAACATAACCTGGGATACGGAGGGTGATATAACAAAGATAACCTGGGATAGAGAGGGTGAGCCACCCAAGAAAACCTGGGATAAGGAGGGTGAGGCACGCAGGATAACCTGGGATAGGGAGGGTGAGACACCCAGGGTAACCTGGGAAAGAGAAGGTGAACCACCCAAGATAACCTGGGATAAAGAAAGTGAGTCACATAGGATAACCTGGGATAGGGAGGGTGAACCACCCAAGATAACATGGAACAGGGAAGGTGAGCCACCCAAGATAACCTGGGAAAGGGAGAGTGAGCCACCCAAAATAACCTGGGATAGGGATGGCGAGCCACCCAGGATAACCTGGGATAGGGAGGGTGAGCCACCCAGGATAATTTGGAATAGGAACAGTGAGCCACCCTGGATAACCTGGGACAGGGAGGGTGAGCCACCAAAGATAACCTCAGATAGGGAGAGTGGGACACCCAGGATAACCTGGAATAGGAATTGTTAGGCACCCAAGATATCCTTAGACAGGGAGGGTGAGCCACCCAGGACAATCTGGGATAGGGAGGACGAGCCACCCAAGATAACCTGGAATAGGGAAGGTGAGCCACCCAGGATAACCTGGGATAGGGAGTGGGAACCACCCAAGATAACCTGGGATAGGGAAGGTGAGCCACCCAGGATAACTTGGGATAGGGAGGGTGAGCCACGCAAGTTAACCTGGGATAGGGAGAGTGAGCCACCCAGGATAACATGGGACAGGGAAAATTAGCCACCCAAGATAACCTGAGATGGGGATGGTGAGTCACCCAGGATAACCTGGGAATGGGAGAGTGAATCACACAAGATAACATGGGATAGGGAGGGTGAGCCACCCAGGATAAATTGGGATAGGAGAGTGAGCCACCCTGGATAACCTGGGATAGGGAGTGTGAGCCACCAAAGATAACATCGGATACGGAGAGTGGGACACCCAGGATAACCTGGGATAGGGATTGTGAGGTACCCAAGATAACCTTGGATAGGGAGTTGGAGCCACCAAGGATAACCTGGGATAGGGAGGATGAGCCACCCAAGATAACCTTGGATAGGGAAGGCGAGCCACCCAGGATAACCTGGCATACGGAGTGTGAACCACCCAAGATAACCTGGGATAGGGAAGGTGAGCCACCCAGGATAACATGGGATATATAGGGTGAGCCACCCAAGTTAACCTGGGATAGGGAGAGTGAGCCATCCAGCATAACCTGAGATTGGGAAAGTGAACCACCCAAGATAACCTGGAATATGGAGGGTGAGCCACCAAGGATAACTTGGGATAGGGAGGGTGAGCAACCCAAGATAACCCGAGGTAGGGAGGGTGAGCCACCTAGGATAACCTGAGATAGGGAGGATTAGAAACCTAAGATAACATGGGATAGGTAAGGTGAGCCACCCAGGATAACCTGGGATAGGGAGGGTGAGCCACCCAAGATAACCTGGGATAGGGAGAGTGAGCCACGAAGATAGCGTGGGATATGGAGAGTGAGCCAGTCAGGATAACTTGGGATAAGGAGGGTTAGGTACCCAGGATAACGTGGGATAGAGAGGGTGAGCCACCAAAGATAACCTGGGATAGGGAAGGTGAGCCACGCAAGATAACTTGGGATAGGGAAGGTGAGCCACACAGGACAACCTGGGATAGGGAAAGTGAGCCAACAAATATAACCTGGGATAAGGAGGGTGAGCCACCAAGATAACCTGGGACAGGGAGATTGAGTCAGTCAGGATTACTTGGGATAGGGAGGGTTAGCCAGCCAGGATAACCTGGGATAGGGAGGATGAGCCACCCAGGATAGCCTGGGAT